TCAGCCAAGCCTTTACTTGCCACGCAAACATGAGGACTTGGGTTCGAATCTTCAAAAGACACTTAAGCTGGTTGCAGTAGTGTGCACGTCTGTAATCCCAGACAGTGAGAGGCAGGAGAGTCTTTAAGAGTTAATTGATGGTCCAGGAAAACCCGGTGTCCACAGGACAGAGACCCTGACTGTAACAAATAGAAGGCCAGGCCTGATGTCTAAGGGTGTCCTCTGTATCCCCACACTGTGGATGCACGCACGCGCACACACAGATATAAGGCTGTAGTGTAAATCTGGTGTTGATCATTGCCACATCGTATCTGTAGGAAAAGTTCCCGAGGATGGAATTACTAAGTGAAATGCGATGTCCACTTCACGAGCCTTGTCAAACTGTCCTCACATTGCACGGACACCGGCTCACATCAACAAGGAATGCGCAGAGCTACTCCCCACCCTTGCTTGCCTAGGACCGGCAAAAGTACTACCACATTTTTAAGATTTTTGCTAGTCAGATTAATTTGTATTTCTTAATAGAAAAAGTTGCAGCATCTTTTCAAGGGTTTAGATCTCCTCTTTTAAAAAATATTTTTAAGACATTTGTGTGTGTGCACATGTGTGCACACGAATGCACATAGCACAGCATGCACGCGGAAGTCGGGATGACTTGGGGGGGGGGGGGCTTGGTTCTCTCCTTCTACCATGTTCTCATGGTAGGTACCTTTACCCGCTGACCCCTCTCTACTGCAGTCACATTGTCTGTCTTAACTTTTGTTTGTTTTTGAGACAGGGTTTCTCTGTATAACAGCCTTGGCTGTCCTGGAACTCATGCTGAAGACCAGGCTGGTCTTGAACTCAGATCTGTCTTCCTCTACCTCCTGAGTGCTGTGATTAAAGGTGTGAGCCACCACCACCCAGCTCACATTGTCCTTCTAAGAGACATGTGTGCATATGCCCATTCATTCATAACCAGTCATGCTGGGACTCTGTGCTGGATGATGTAACAGTAGCAGGTAGACGTGTGCATTCAAGAGACACAGACCAGGGCATGTGCTGGGGTGAAGAAGGACTTTGAACTTATGGAGCCCATTTGTTAAATGCTTGTCTACATGTATGCATTTCTGCACCTCCCTATGTAACATACAAGAGCAAATGTTTGGCTATATACTGAAACTGACAGGGATGGCTTTGATTGGAAGAGATCATTTTCTCCTTTATCCTTCAATTTATTGATAAATATAATTTATCTCAAGCTTCTGTTTTGCTCTTTGCTTGTTTGAGAAAAGGTCTCAGGGTAGCCAAGCTGGCCTCAAACTCCCCGTCTTAGTTAGGTTACTATTACTGTGACAAAGACCATGACCAAAAGCATCTTGGGAAGGAGATTTGACTTATTTATTTATTTGGCTTCCTGATCACAGTCCATCATAAATGGAAGTCAGGGCAGCAACCCAGAAGCAAGGATTGAACAGAATCCACGGAGGAAGACTGCTTTACTGGTTTGCTCCTCCTGGCCTGTTCAGTTTGCTCATTATACACCCCAAGACCACTTGCCCAGGGATGATACCACCACCCACACTTGGCCGGGCCCTCCCACATCAATCGATAATCAAGAAAATGCTCTACAGACTTGCCTATAGGCCAAATGTGTCAGGCATTTTCTCGATTCAGGCTCCCTCTTTGCAGATAGATGACGGAGCTTGTCTCTAAAACCCACCAACACACACTCTGTGTAGCCAAAAATGACCTTGAACTCCAGATTCTCTTTCCTCCTCCCACTGATCTGAATTACAGTGTGAGCTACTGTGCTTGGCTTTTAAAAACTTTTTACATTGTAGCTGGTCTGAGGCCAGCCTGGTCTACAGTAAGTTCCAGGACAGTCAGGGTTTGTTACACAGAGAAACCCTGTCTTGGGAGTGGGGGTGGGGCGCACCACCAACAAAAACAAAACAACAAAAACATTCCACATTGTAAACTCACTGGCACATTGAACTCGAAGCTAGGCGATACGCCCCTGTGTGTGTTTCCCAAATTTCTTTTACTTTCTTTTTGAAAATTTTTGGAAACACATAGAATTATTTTTCTAATTAGGAAAAATAAATGTTGTGAGAACATACACACATTCTTACATGTATTTAATATTTACTTCCCTCTCTATGGTGATGGCCACCTTGAAGGAGAAATGCAGAAATCCACTTACATGCTCCCGAAAGGTTGGCATGAGCCTTGGGACTTCCAGTCTCAAGTTCCTGCTAGCTGTGAATTCTCCAGAAACACTGGTAGTTTTGTTTGTTATTTTTTTCCATCTCTCTTTACTGGACTTCATTTGCCTCCAACAAAACAGGAATTTAGGAACTGGAAGTGCTAGAAACCTGACTTTAGAATGTGGACCCCAGAATTATCGGTTCTCAGACGCCAGCTTCAGGCTCTGCGTCCAAGGGCGACCCCTGTTGGTGGGATTTAAATTTGCTCTTTTTCTCCTCCAAGCGTTTTTCAGGTCCTGGGGATTTTTTCTGTCCGCTAGAATTTGTGAGCTCTACAGGCAACTCACTCAGCCCCATCGTGCTTCTCATTTCTGTTTCCTCAGTCCTGGGAAGCCAGGAATAGAGGCTTGGGGGAAATGGAGCCGCAGGTGTGACCGGCCCTTCAAACTTCACCCAGACATGCTTTTAGTGGTCAGTAGGTGGAGTGAGATGACCTTTGCATTAAGGGCCGGATGTGGAATATGGCTGGCTGACTGAAAAACTGCTGGATTCGGGCCGTTTGTGGAATGGGGCAGGCAGCACGTCACAACACCCCGGATATGAGGTCTAGGGGCTGCATATCTCAGGGAGGTGGTGGGAACTCCTCACAGGGTGTGGAGGCTGGGCGTGACTCCATCCCCCAGGCAAGATAACTGCTCTTCTCTTGGGGAGATCCTGGCAAGAACTAGACAGCTAACAGCCCATTCTGTAGCTAGCCCCCATCTCTGCATTTACATGCAGATTTAGAGAGGCGTGGCTAGGAAATCCATCCCTTCACACTGTCAGTATTCACCCCAAAAGAATTACCCATCATATCCTGTCTGTCACAGAGGACCGAGCAGACATGCTGGATAGTCCGGTTGTAGACACACAGAGCCTGTCTGTAGTTAGTCAGCATTTTCACCCCACCCCAGGCATTGGTCAATGATAAAGAAAACTGGATGTCAGAGGGATGAGCTGGGCACTCTGGATCTTGGAGAGAGCATGACACAGCACTTCCCAGAGTCCATCCCTTACAACAGGAGGCTAGCCGCCACTCATCTCTCGTAGGTCCCGGTGGAAATGAGCTCTTCCCTAGCCTTGCAGTCTCGGGACTCTGCTCCACCGGTTGGAAACGGGGAGTCAGACACGTGGCTCCCGGGAGGCCGATCCAAACACACTTTTCTCCACTGAGCCCATTGTTCGGACACCCAACCCAGGTCCCTTGTGTTTGTTGAGCCTGGGGGGATGGGTTCCTAAGAAAGGAATGCAGTGAGTGCTCACGACAGAGCTGAATGGGCATTTTACAAGGGGCTGGGTTCAGGTTCCAGCTAGAAAGGGCCAAGAAAGGAAGCCTGCCACAGAGCTCAGATCTGGTGTGCTTGGATGTCAAACAGACTGAGATTCTTGATCGTTGTTTCCAGCTTTCTAGAAAGGTTTGGAGACATGCTTCCCTGGTTCCAAGTAGTGCCCAAATTTTTGCCCAGAGGACCTAGACAAAGACTTCCAAAGTCTGTACCACAAACTGGCCCCAAGACCCGGACTTAGATTCCCCACTCTGGAGAACACTGGCTACAGTGAAGCCCCTCCTGCATAGTGGTACTCACAGGTCACTGGCAGGTAGGTGGGGAAAAAATGTGTATTTAGAGACTCCCATTAACCAGAGGGGGGAGCGGAGTAACAAGTTCCTGGGGGGGGGGCACAGGATGTAGAACTGCAATCAAAGTCCTCATCCTAGAACTAAAATGAATCGGAAAGAAAAAAACCTCCAATGCTTTCCACTACTTGCCAGGCTCGGAGTGGGTTAAGTAGTCGATGCTCAGGGACACCCAGTGTTGAGTTAAGGAGATGCCATACTCTGTATGGACTGACTCCTGCGGCAGAGAATAGCTCATCGGTGGTCCCTTCTTGTTTTGACCCATGGCCTGTCAGTCCTTGCTATGAATTAGCACCCCCATTCTTCAATCTCATTGAAATCTTCTCCCCAGGCTCATGGTCAAGTAACTAGCACGTGCAGAAAACTGGTACATGAAAGTGAAGATCACTCTACTTTCCCTTCTTCTGGGATGTATGTGTGTATGCATGTCGCAGGGCAGAAGTCAAGCTGCCTGGGGTGTGTCCTCACCGCACTCCCCACCCTAAGAGCTGCCCATCTCGGTTTTTTGGTTTTTCAGACATGTCTCTTTCACCTAGAACTTGCCTAGTAGGCTAGATTGGCTGGCCAGCAAGCCCGTCTCCACCTCATGGCTTTTTACATTGATTCTGGGAATTGAACTCTAGTTTTCAAGCCTGTAAGCACTCAGTGAACCCTCTTTCAAACCAAGATCTTTGGAGGGTGCATCTTCCCCTCCAAAGGACCTCTAGACCCAGGCGACTCTAGGATTCTGTTGCTATGTCAGCTGACAAAAAGGGGAAGGGTTTGGAATCTAACAGCAGGAATACAGAGTGGTGGCGACTCTGTGGAAGTCGCAGGCCTTTCTTTTTTCTCGTCCCTTGGGGAGGCCACTGGGTGCAAGGCGCGCTTTCACTGCTACAGACCTCCGAGATCGGCCTCGCTCGTCCTGGGCTCCAGCGCCCTCACCTGGTGGCCGTGACACGTCCCGGCGGCGGCTCTCGGTTTTGGGTCTACGGCTCCCCCAGCGGCCGCCAGAGCCCGCCCGGGTCCGGCCCCGCAGGCCGCCCACCTCGGTGAGTGGGAGGACCGCTGCCCCGAGAGGGGGGTGGGAAGGGGGGGAACGGGATGAGTGCGGGCGCCGGGGGCTCGGGGTGGGGAGGAGCCAGCCCCGGAAGGCGGCTATAAAAAGCGGCGGCTCGGGCTGGCAGCTCCGAGCTAGCTAGTAAGCCAGTGAGCGCGCGGAGCCGAGCTAAGAGCGCCCGCTGCGCAGAGTGGCAGTGGTCTGGTGCCGGGGGCGCACTGTACCGAGTGAGGCCCGGATCTGCACTTCACTTCCCGCGAGCTCTCGTCCCGTTTGCTCACGCTCGGGGGCTCGACGCGTGGGATCAGATACCAGACTCCGGGATGCTGCACTCCAGGTCCCCGAGGCGTGGCACTGTCTCGGTCATCAGCCGTAGGTAAGAGAACCGCGGAGGTAAGAGGACCGGTACTGGGGCGCGAGGGCGCATGGATTTAGCCTTGCGAGAGAGAGGACAGTCGGGTTCCCGCGCCTCCTCTCGGTTTAGGGAAAACGTTGCCCTCCGTCGGCCTGTTTGTCCAGCCTGTTCTCTGCTGTCTGCCTCTGCCTGTCTGTTTTCCTGCCTGCCCGTGTGTCTGTCTGTCTGTCTATCCATGTGTATGTTGGTGGGCATACGCCCCCGTCTTACAAGTGGCAGGTGTTGGGGACACCAACGTCCAGGAACGCATTCGACGGGAGGCTTTGCTTAGGTTGTCCTCCTGTGAATGGCACTAGATGCTCACACAAACGACTCTCTCACTGAAAAGCGATGGTCCCGAAGCAGGTCTCGGAAGGAGCCCAGTCAAACAAGCTTACGCTGTGGTTAGTGGTCGCGAGCCTCACAAGTCTGCACCTTGTCGCTTCCGCTTTGGCAAGGTCTCCTGGGTTCCATCTGCCGTCAGCCTCTGCCGTCCCAGCGATGCGCTGGCACGGGGCGAGCGGAGGTGATCTGATGTTAGACGACCTCGGTGGTCCCTGCTGATATTTAAGCAAACACTAAGACTGGAAGCGCTGCAGGAATGTTTGTTGGCCCCTGGCAACGGACGTCACCGACAAGAAGGGTCGCACAAGATAGACAGAAAAACCAAGGTCTCAGCAGGTCGCAAGCCGGATTCGTGCACGATTCTCCAGTACGCCGCTCTGGGAACGAGGTCCGAGGAGATTTCGGAATGGACCCGGGAGAATGCGTGTGTTCTTGACGAGAAGGGCGGTGCACCCATGTTCCCCAAGAGTTGGATATTCCACCCGCGCCAGGTCTGAGGTTCTCAGTCCTACTCCGAGCAGCCAACTCTGCCCACAGGTAAGAACTCCCTTTTAAAGCCAAGCTTTGATGTGAGAGCCACGGCCTGGCTGAAGCCCTGTCCAGGAGACAGTGAGCCAGGGAGTCGTCTCCAAGTCAGCGGTCTGGAGAGGGACCCCAGGCGCGCCCGCGGGTGGGGAACAGGCGACTCTGCGTGCCCAGGCGCGGCGCCACCATGGACAGCTCCCAGCTACTTCCGCCACTCGGGGCCTGTGGCCGTGAGTCTGGAGCAGTCAGGAGCCTCCTTCACCGACTCAGGTGTTGAGACAATGGGAAGGTAGAGAGGTACTAAAAGACCTGTGGACCTACGTGTTCTTTTTGGAGGCACTAACCGCTCAGGAGGGAGCCTACCCTGCCGGGGGCTGGACTTTTCTTCCAGCTTGCTTCTGAGTCTGTGTAACCTCTTAATGTCACTTTAGTCTTATGTGGCACCATGGTGATCCCTCAGAGGCGTGACAGGTGCGCAGCCTTTGTTATACGATCCAGGCGGTGAGATAAAAGTAACTGCAATTAGGTTTAGAACTAAACTGCTTTCAGTGTAGGGCATAAGGCCATTTTTTATTAAGCAATTTAATAACTATGGTAATGAATCAGTACTTTAGTTTCACAGTCTATGACAGAATGGAGAAGAAACCACATAAGACAAAATTTCAAGGAAGTGTCTAAGAGGGTGTGCAAAACGAGCTGTCCTCTTTTTGATCCTAACAGTGTCCCCTAAAGGACTCTGTAGGCAGCTTCTGAGGGCTCTGCTTAGCCCAGGAGATGATGGTTCAGACTGATTACTTGGGAACTGGGTGAGGGTTTGTTTCCTTCTTCTAGTAAGAAATGATACTGAATGGGCTTTTCTTGTCAGGACTACCTATACCAGTGGCTCTCCACCTTCCTAATGCTGTGACCCTTTGATACAGTTCCTCATGTTGTGGTGACCCCCCAGCCCATAAAACTAGTTTCATTGCTACTTCATAACTGTAATTTTTCTACTGTTATGAATGTATTGCAAATATCTGTCTTTTCTGATGGGGGATGAGAACCACTGACCATACCAAAACACAGAAGTGTGTGTGTTCCTTCATTTTAAAAATTACAAATCAGAAGGTCATTTCTGCTTGTGATGGAAGCATATGTATAATAAATAATAAAAACAAGAGGGGGGAGAAGGAGGAGAGAGCAAAATCTGTGACTTTGGGAAATTCAACTAAATGTCTTGAGTCAGTGAGGGCAAGGTGAATCTATCAGTGACTAGGGAAATTACTATATAGAGCAAAGTATTTAAGTTCGGTGCTGAGCAGAGAGCACGCGTAAAGTGGTCCTGGTTACATATGCATTTCAAAATGCTCTGCTTTTGTCTGAGGTGTGTTTAGCCACCCAGTGGCCTCTTTCTTAACTCCGCAACTAGTTGGGAGTGACTCCATTGCCATTTTATTGTCATATTTGACTCCTTGCTGATAGAACGGAAAGATACGTTGAAGGGTTTTTATTGTTTCTCCACCTGTCCCACTTGGAGGAAATAGTTTTTATTTTTTTAAAAAGAAAGTAATTTTCACCTCATCATTCCAGCCCTTTGACCTAGATAGATGATCATGCCTTCCTGCACTTTTTCTCACACGATCTGCTACAGGGCCTCACTCTTTTGCTGAGGCCTGGCACCCTTGGGGTACAGGTAGAGAGGGTCTTCAAGACCTTGTTTCTAGATAAAGTTCTAGTTGGCTGCAGAGGGAAAGACATTGACCTTATCAGACTAGAGTGGTCCCACCATACACTCTCTTACATGCTTGAGTTTTGCTCGGACACGACAACCTGGCCAAGACACTTTGCTCACAGTATTTTGGTCCTCACTGGATTTGGAGGTCTCCCTAAGTTTCTCATTTTTGGGTTCTATCTGGTAGAAACCACTAGCAGATGACACGCCACAGAGATTTGGGCGGTGGAGCTACAGGCACACAGTACTGTAGTTAGATCTCTCCCCCGACTCCCTGTGTGCATGCACCTGTATCTATTCCTGCCAGTTTCCCATTCGAGTGTGCTCAGAATTTCCTTCGTCCCCTCTCTCAGTAGATCAGAAGGATGCTTTGTTTCCTCCACTTGAAAGGAAAATGGAGCTCATGAGCAGCCTACCGATGCTGGGAGTCTCTCTCTGACTTTCATCCACTGATGATGCGGCTACAAAAGAAGGTTCTGGGTCCCCACCTCACCCTGAAGTTTGGGCTGTCTTCTGGTCACCACGGAGTCCCGTCTCCAGTGTCCCTGTAGCTTCCAGGTAAGAAAATGACTGAACCATGGGACAGTCCAGGGAAGCAAGGCCAACGAGGGGAGAAAGCGGCCTGGGTGGAAGAAAGGAGCTCATCGCTGGTTCTGTAGGCGTTCTGTCTGCGGCGGCTGTGTCTGAGTCTTTGGGACAGACGGATCAGATGGCAAAGGTGACATTTTGTAAGGGCAACTCTAGTTACTCTCGTTGGCTCCCTTGAAGCCCCGTGCAGTGCTGGCAGACCAGCAGCATCACGTGGATCAAGTGCACGTTGCATTTTATCTATAGCTCAAAGGCACGTGTTTGCATGGAGGTGGGCTGGCCTAAGGGAACAAAGTCGTGTTTGTGAGCTTCATCCCTCAAGACTCCCTAACTGCAACCGTCTGGTTGGCATGTATCTTTGCACCTGGTGGCAAACACACAGATATTTGATCTTATCAGAGAGATGTGGCAGCTGTCTTTTCTGGTCTTCATCACTAAGAAGGCAGCTCCAGTTTCCTCGGAACGGGATCTTGCCTGCTTGACTCTGGTGGAGTTGGCAGCAGTTGGGCGAGGGTACGGGGGAAATTCTCAGGGCCATGTGTTTCTTTCTGTTGTCCTGTCAGTTACTCCACCTGATCATCACCTCCCCCCAAGGCTTACACATAGGAACTGTGCAGATTCGGATAGGATGGTGGCTGTCATGGTGACTTTTATCAGTCTCCTCCACACCTTGCTGTCTAATCACTCCCTTGGGGTCACCCTGGCCTCTCTGGCAGGTTCTGCGGTTTTCCCTTTATCTTCCGTCTGCCCTGGTGCCAGGCTTTGTTCTAGCCTAGGTCTCTGGCACGGAGGCTGCTTGCTGAGAAATGTCATCAAATATACATTACACTGCTCCTCAGGTCCCTTGGTGCCAGGAAACACACTTTCCCACCCAGAGGAGCTCCTTCCTGCCGCTGTTCTTTTCCAGGGCCTGTCCCTGGACTCTGCTTGGCTCTTCTAAGTTCTGCTTGGCTCCAGGAAGCTAATATGGCCTTTTCTTCCCAGCCCTGAAAGGGAGGGGTCCTTGGAAACCTAGGCAGGCTTTCCCTGCAAAAGCGCCTGCTCTGAGCGAGTATCTCTCTCTCCACCCTAGACTCTCTCTCTTAGGCTCCTTGCCTAGGGAACTCACTAGGCATTTTGCTTTGAATCTTCTGCAAGGGCAGTGAGACCACAAGGATTACCCGCAACCTTATAGTGCTCGAAACAACTGCATTGGAAAGAGCTGTGTATTTTCCCTCCGTCTGCTGAGGAAGTTAGCTATCGGGTATTTTCTATTACAGGGAAGCCATGAGCAGAGAGACTGGTGGCTTTGCCATGCAGAGTGTCAATGGCAGACTGCTGTGTATCCTCTTGCTAGGGACAGGAAGTCTGAAGGCTTTTTCAGTGGCCTACTACAAGCTGTCCAGCCTTGAGTTGAGTGCTTCGTTCTCTTGGCCCGAGTCTCTGCAGCTGTAGAGTATGGTGCTGAAGATATTATACTGAACATGAAGGTAGAACTCAGACTTCCCTTGATGTGGTTGTACTTCTCAGGAAAGATAATGGGGACTGGAGCATCCTTGGAGACTGGATGGAAGGTGATTGCTTGCCATTCTTCTCCCAGCCTGGGCAGGCTCTCCAGATCTTGGGAAGGGTCCTTGGCTCTTCCAGACTCCTGCTTTCTTACCTTCTTACATTAGGGGAACTTCTTGAGCTCGAACATCCACATAAGATACGGCGAGGCTTGAGAGAGCACAACTCTGCCTTGGCAAATGCGGCGTGGACTTGGGAGGTCTGCATTTCCAACAAGCTCGGGAGGGGGTTTTGAAATTCCCCTTGACTTTCTGTAACTCCGACT